ATATATATATATATATATATATATATAGAGTAATAATCCTATAAGTTCCTCCTCCACCCATGTGTATAGGACCCCAAACGATCATCATTAAAGCTAGCACAAATGTTTAGAAAAATTATCATATAGGTGTGAGACTTAACTTTTATATAGATCCGTACCAAATTTAATGGTGATCATTTGGGGTCCTACACACATAGGTGAGGGAGGGTCCTATATGATCATTTTTTATATATTATAATAATAATAATAATAATAATAATCCTTTGAGACTCTCTTACACCTATATGTGTAGGATATCAAATGATCACCATTAAATTTGGTACAGATATTTAGAAAAATTAAGTCATGCACCCATGTGATAACTTTTTTAGATATATGTGTCAAATTTAATGCTGATCCTTTGGGGTCCTACACACATGGGTGGGGTAGGGTCCTATAAGATCATTTATCTCTCTCTCTATATATATATATAGAAAATGATCATGTGAGCCAGTGGGTTCCCCTAAAATATAATACTTGAATGTAAATAAAAAATATATGAGACTATTTTTAAATTTCCAAAATAAACTATGATTTTTCTTTTTTGTTAATTTTTCTTCCACAAATTGGTAGGGCCTGATCCAAATCAAAATTTGACCAATATTTAAAAACTTAGATTGGTTATGTGAACCAGTCATTTGGAAACCTGTCTGGTTTTGCAAATGGCCGATTTCAAAAAGTGCAAAAAAAAAAAGAGAATTGGCCAATAAAATATTAAAAGTAAGAAATTTTTTTTTTAAAATAAAGAAAAGAAGGCCTCGACCAACCCGAACAGTTATATTCGAATATTATTCCCTTGCAACATATCTGGATCGGGCAATTCGGATAGGATCTACGGTTCTCGAAACGCCCGTTCAACCGCGAACTTTTTCCTTCGCCGAACTATTACCCCGCTCTGTACTCGATGCCACTCATTTGTTTTCCCTCCCATTTTCGTTTTCATTTAATCATTTTACGTTTACATTTTGTTTTTTAGGGTTTGCCTTCCATTTTTGAGTTGTAAAATTAAAGCAGTGTGATGCCTTAAAGCCATTGCAAGCCCTAATGGCTTCCTCCTTTTTGCGGAAGAAATTTCCCTCAGGTAAATATCACGAACATTGTTTTCCTTTTATTTCAGCAATGAAGACGACTATTTCTTAGTTTATGATGATTTTGGGTTTTACTGGTTCTTGGTTTCTATTTTTTGATTGATTTAAGACCATTTAAACTAGTTTTAGCTGCAAAAATGGGAGAGAGGTTGTATTTGTGTCCTCACTTTCTGGAAATGGCGAGTTAAGGTTTTACTGGTTTAAATTGAGTGGTGATAATTGAGAGAGAGAG